CACACACACACACACACACACACACACACACACACACACACACACACTGATTAGCTACCAGGACAAATGTGTAGGCTCTGTAACACTACCACAGGCTACGCAGGAGGTTTTGCATGAATGTGCGCGTATGAACGCACATAAGTTCATTCCCCATCTCGGTAAGGAGACACCCTGGGCTGACATCCCTGCCTCGGGCGGGGCCTGGGGGGCTCAGGGCTCCATTAGGGCCGGTGTCCCTGCAATCCTCAGCTGGCGTCAGGGAGGAGCTAGAGCCCATGTTTAATTCACAGCCCTGACCCCAGGCCCCCACTTCCAGCCTTGTTCTGTGCCTTCCCCGAGAGCCTCATTAATCAATCAGCTTGGAACAAATGTGACAAGCCCAAATGGGAGCGCCAACATGGAATCAATCTGCCCAGGCTGGGCCTGTCCCTCACCGGCACTGGGCCTCTTTCCACCCCTGATCCTCCCAGTGTGGTTCTGGGAAGGCACGGCAGGGTGGGGATGGCAGGCAGGGGCCCGAGAGCAGAGACCCAGCAGTGCAGGCAGGGTAGGGGGCCAGATGACCCTGGCACCCCCACCCCTGCTCCGGACCAGCTTCCCCTCCCCCACTGCCCCTCCATGCCCGCCCTCTCAGGCTCCAGGGCAGTCTCTGAACTCAGTCGGCCCATTCTCATGCTGTCTTGGCCTTGCCCTCCCCTCCAATGTCTTTGCAGCTGCTCCTCACCTAGGATGACGCTGCTTCCAGGAAGCTCACCGGGTTTCAACAGTCATTTCTAAGAGCAGCGAAAAGACACTTCACCCCCTCTTCCGTATCATACCCGCCAATGCACCCCCTCCCCGACTCTCCCCTGCCTGTGGACTCCCCCAATGCCCCCACGCCTGTCCCGAGTTCTCGTCAGGTCAGGAGGAAGGACATGCCACCCCGCTTTTCCTCCGGGGACCACTCACCATTCTCGGTGATTATCTGGGGCACCTCCTTGGCTGCTGGGGAGTAGCACTGGATCTGATTGCCTACCACCAGCCCATCCATCTCTGACAGGTCCTCAAAGGTGCAGTTGACGCCGGCTGACAGCTCCGGGACATTGTATGTCTCTAGGACCAGCTGCGAACGGCCAGGCAACGGGAGAAAGAGGAAGAGAGTGAAGTGGGGAAAGGGATGGGGCGTAGTAAAGGAAGGAAGAGAGAGAGCAAGAGAGATCAGAGAGAAAGGAAAGAGGGAAAACAGGATGCGATATTAACACAGAGAAGAGGAGAGCCAATTAATCCATCACAAGACACAGAGACAAGGTGGTGGGGTAGAAAGAGACAGACACAGGAACCTTCATTACATATGGATGGGTTTGGCCCCAGGAAACGGGAATGCTTAGGGGATATGTCTGTAGAAAGAAAGGCGGGCAGGACTGAGGTATTGCTGGTCAAGCTCCTCTTCCATGGTCCCCAGTTTTGGAAAAATGGCAAACCAACCACCAAGGACCCAGTGCATGAACATGGGAGCCATCCTGCCCCTTTCTCCCTCTGCACATACATCCTTCCCATCTTACAGACAAACATGCAGTTCCCAACAGCCACCCTCTCTTGGTCACCCTTTTGATCCTCTTTGGTATCACACTTCTCCCTGTCTTTCTACCCATTGTGCAGAAAGTCTCTGCCCCCATATTCCCGTGCATGTTCCCCTCTTCCATCTCCAGGGACGCATCCTTTAAAGGTGCTCTTGAGCAGCTAGGCTGGTCAGGCGTGGCCCAAATCCCCTGAGGAGCCTTGGTGGGCTTCGGTGGGGAGAGGGTTCTGCCACGTCCCTGGACCCAGATCCCCCTGCCCTTACCAGGACATTGTACTGGGAAACAGAGATGTTGCTGGGATGGACAGTCAGCCGGACACATTGCTTCATCTCAGAGGCAAACCTGCGGGGCTCTCTGGACCGCTCACAGCGCTCCTTCCGGGTGCACCTGGGAGGGACAGAGCAATGTGTGACTCAGGCGAAGGCCACTTACTCCAGCGAGGGGCTGACGCGGAGGTCAGGCCCTGTGAGGGGCCCCCAGGACGTGTCCAAACTCAATGTGTCCAGGATTGACCTTTTCTGCCCCCTTCCTCCAGCCTGGTCCTCCCCCACCAAGCCCGAATTTGAAAAAGATGGCAATTCTAATCACTGGTTGCCAAATGCAGAAACTTGAGGGTCATCCTAAAGACCCCTCACAACCTCCTCGTTCACAGAAAGAGTTGCAGAGTCACTATTCTACCTCCTCACTCACCCTCAGCCCTCCTCCCCTGTTAGGCAGACTGAGACCTGTTCTCAGTGTCTATACAATGTACTCTTTCAGATTTCCTCGCCTTGTGCTGCCCGGTGCTGCTCTCTGGACCACCCTCCCTCATTTCCCCTGTCCAACTTCTACCTACCTTCCCAGACATGCGTCAACTATTAAGCATCTGCAGTCTCTCCCACCACCAGCCTAGGCAAAGTTAAGAGCATTTAGGGGTTTCTTTAGTCTAGAACTTCTTCGATTATATGATAATTACTGGGTTAAGCGCAGACCTCTCCTACCAGGTGTGAGCTCAAAAGAAGACTCTGCCTGACTTATTTTGGGATCCCCTGTATACCTCATGTCCAGTAGACAGAAGACAAATGTGGGTGGGTGGGAGGGAGGGAAAGAAGGATCAAAGGAGCAGAATGGAGCAGTTCAGAGCATGCTCTGGAGCCAGACTGCCTTGGACCCAAATCCCAGTTCCCTGGCACAGGGTAACTGCTAGAGAAGGTTTCTATTATTGCTTAGCATCCTGTGTCGTTCAAAGTATACTGTGTCACAGGTGGACCACATTCAGGGCGACCTGGGGTCTCACAGGGCTAACTGACGGGGCTTGTGAAACATGCATGCAAGAATCACGGCCCTTCACCCATATGTGCACATCACACACGGGGGAAGGTGCTTAAGCTCTCTGCCTGGGCTGGGGCACCCCTGCCTTCCAGTGGGAGTTCACTGCACACACGTACCTGAGCTTCGGGGAATAGCCAGGATGTCTTGTGGAGCCTGCATGGGGAGTGGATATTGGGGAGGGAGCATCCACCTTGAGAAGCAGACAGGGGAAGGGTGGGCCTAGAGATGAGGGAAGAGAGGCTCCAGGACCGCCTGAGCCGCTCGTGGGGTGACTGGGCACAGGAGAACACCACAGGGAAAGAAGGAACCTTTGGCTTCCATGGGAGGGACAGCCTAACAGTGAAGAGTCAGGGGAGAATCCAGCAAATGAAGGAGAAGTCACCGAAACCATGGACTGAAAGGGGGAAGCGGAGACCCAGGGACAAAAACGATGGCCACAGAGTAAACTGGATGTGCAACGAGAAAGTGGAAAACAATTCTGAGTAATACGCTCATGGCTGCTAGTCCCTGAGCGCTTCATAGGCACCACAGTAAGAGGCTTACGGTTTATGTCAAAGCCTCTCAACAATGTTGCGGGGCAGGTACCATTTAAAAATCCATTTTATAGACTAGGAAACTACAGAAAGCGTGGGTAAGTCACTTGCCCAAGGTCACCAGCTCATCAGAGGGAACCAGTACTCGAACACAGATGAACCCTGGAGCCTCTGCTCTTGACCGCTGGGGCCGCACCTCCCTGAAGCTTCGAGACTGAGAAGTGAGGTTCCGACCGCCTTGCGACCGGCGAAACCCGTTTCCCTGCCATCTTGATGTTCTCTTCATGTGCCTTGAGGTGACTACCTGCCAAGAATTTCCCTTCAAGGTTTGTCTCTAGGCTAATCGCTATTTTTGCCGGCCACTAGGATGCACTTTGAATATTATTGCAACTTGTGACTTCTCTAGGATCCTTCTAGGAATCCTGAGAGCGAAGGGTCAGACATGAATGTGGTCACCTCCCTGGCTGCTTCAGCAGACCATGGCAACAAGGGCATCTGCCTAAAAGTCTTGGAAGTTAATTTACCAGGCTAGCTCCTCTGTGAGGACTTCATTACCTCCAGCCATTAAGCTAATGCTATGGACTTTTCCAGGGTGTCCGCACTGACATCGCTATTAATAGTGTTATTACTCCCATTAACAGCAGACCCAGAGAGCTGGTACAGGCTTAAATTATTCATTGACTCCCCAACTTTGAAGTTCTTATTTCCAAGAGCAATCAGTAGGTCTGAAAAATGTCTTTGATTAAATTACGAAGAGAGAAAAATGAACCTGTGTCTGGGCCAAACATCAATTGCTAAAGAGAAATCCAGATGAAGAAGAGAGGACCCCGCCTCTCTTGAAGGTGTACCAAGGCACTTGGTTGGGGGATCTCAAGATGAGGTCTACCTGCATGGTTTGCTGCTTCCAAGGTTCCTGTGGCTGCATCCTGCCATGGCTCCCCGAACGTAAGAGCCCCTGAACCAAATACTCGTCATCCTTCTCCTCCGGGTCTAGGTCTCACCAAGGAAGTCACCTGTAGCTTACAATTTTAAACATCCCATCTAGCCGCGTAATCTTGGGCAAATGACTTAAGCTCTTGGTGCCTCAATTTTCTACGTTTCTACATTTCTACAAAATGGGGACAAAATAGTATCTGCCAAATAGGGTTATTATGGAGAATTAAATGAGGTTATGCAAGTAAACTATTTAGAACAGGGCATAGCTCATATGCGATAAGCCCTCGATAAATGTCCACTAGTATTATGATACCATCCCTGCTCTGCCTTCCTCATGCAAGCCCTCCGAGCTATAGCTGACACAGAAGCACAGAATTTTCAGACTGGCCCATGGGGCAAACCAGAAACAAAAAGACAGAGATGGTTCCAGCGGTTTTCCTCCTAATGAGGGATGGGGAGCCCCAGAGGCCGGGAGGGAGGGAAGAGGAAAAGAGTGGTCTGGTTTGCTTGGAGCTCTGCTTTCTTACTAGCTGTCAAAGGGTATTGACTACTCAGCTCTCTTAGTGGAAAGTCAAATTTAAGGTCAGTGTCAGGGATGTTTTGACATTTCTACTATCCCTCAGGGCCCATGAGGGTGGAGGCTGCAAATGTCCAAAAGCACAGACAACTGACCTTAGATGTGATAGGATAATGGACGGGGGAGGACGGATCCCTTCTGAGTCCTTACAGGGTCTGTCAGGGTAATGGCCTCCTACTCTTCTAGGACTGTGATTTCCCATTAGCCCGGGCCAGAGTGGGCAAGTGTGCAAAGGATTCATGCATGACTTTTGGGAGTGGCGGGGGCGGTGGCTTAGATGTTTCTTCCAATGGGGCTCCAAACACTTCCTATAGCATTTCCTTCAATTGCGCTGTGGGAGCACCCTGAAGAGGGAGGAAGGTCCTGCTTCATCCCTTTGCCAGGCAGGTCTCAAAAAGTGCACGCTAGGTGACTTGAAGTCTTCAGACAGTCATCCATGCCACCCCCCCCCCCCCCCCCCCCCCCCCCCCCCCCACCACAACACAGACCTGCAGGGGACCAGCGGGAAGCAGACCCTGAGCAGACAGCTCAGGCAGGCCCCCAGAACTGGAGTGTAGCCCCGCTCATCTCCTCCTACAGCCCTTCCTCATCTCGCTTTCTCTGCAGTTGGGCCCTCCAGCCCCAGTTCAGAGGTGCTGGAAGGCCGTGGGGACAGAGGCCTGGCCCCTGGAGGGGTTATTATTCAAGCCAGTGGTTCCAATGAGATTATCCTCTCTAATGAAGCAGCCACCTCCGCCCTCCCCTAAGCCTGAACTTTCGCTGCTGGAGAATTCCCAGCCAAGTGGAAAATTGGAAAAGAGAGGAACGGAGAAAGGAAGGGGGTGAGGGAGAGGGAAGAGGTGGTGATTAAGCTCTTTAGAAATTAATTCTTAAGGACGGTGATAGAAATATTAACATCCAGTGCCACCGGCTGGGCAAGCAAATTTCAATTTGGAACTGGGGCTGCGAGCGGGGCCTGGGTGAGCCTCCAGACCAGGGGGTGGGTGGGTGCTGGTCCATCCCCTGCTCCTGCAGCAGGGTCCACCAGCCTTGGCTATCAGAGTGTCTCCCGACTTCTCCCCACAGCTGACACCCCCACCATCCTTAACACCTCACATTGCTCATGGCCTGGGCTGAAGGGCACCATTGTGGGGAGCCATGTTTAGAACATGAGGGGATTGAAAAAAATGGGGTGGGGGTAGGGTTCCCCAAATGATCTTTACAGAAAAGCTAAGAGGAATGCTTACTCTAACAGGGGCTCTTTGGTCACTGTATCCACATCTGGGAACCCTGGCGAGGGAAGAAACTGGGTTTGTCAATACCATTGGCCTTGCCCTCTTCAGGAAAGCCCGTGGAAATGGGCAGGCACATCTGTGCAGCTTGGAGGAAGGTGAGCTAGATGGGGAAAGGAACCCTTCCAGGCAGATGAGTGTGCAAGAGGTTTCCCTCATGAAGGGCGTGGACCAGGGGAGTCCTGCAGTGTTGTGATTCTAGGATCCAGTGACTAACACCATGGTCTCGACCTAAGTATTTAGCCTGTTCTTGGATAAACCATGACTACACTACAACTTCCCTTGTCACCAGCTGCTGAACCGGCAACTGGACTCACAACCCTTTGCCATCTCTAAAGCTCCAAAGCCAACCTGAGCAGCAGCTATGGGGTTCCCTGCCTCCTGGGCCCCACCCACCGAAGCAGGAGGAGGGCACAGGACTTTACAGAACCAGCAGGTGCAGGAATCCAGAGGAGGCCCAAGAACCTCTGTGGGCTTACATGGCAACCACGTGGTCCTAGCCCACCACCATCCCTGCGGGGAGAGCCAAGCTCCACCCTGGGTCCCAGGTCAGAGTCTCTCCTTGCCTTCCTTTTGGCCCATCCTCAAACAAATGATATATTGAACACAAGCCTCAGGTGGAAGTAAAAGGGACTTGGGGAGGTTCTCTATTTCCGAGAAGAGAATTACAGGTAGCACGTGCTCAACAGGAAGGGGAACCGGGGACTGTCTCTCCCCTCTCTTTGTCAGTAGGGAGCGCTGTTTGGACCTATTTATTTC